GCGCTTGATCGGTATTCTTGTCGCAAAAGTTTGCCGTCCGCTTTTTCTGTCACGTATGGTCTTCAGAATACTGCCTTAGTCTGAGAAGGAGTACGAACGAAACAACAGGAAACCCAGAGGCTGACACGTGACATTTCTGTTCTATTATTCATCCGAACAATACAGAAGTGATGTAGGGCGCCATGCTTTGTTCCGGATTTCTTCAGGCTATGCACAAAATAGTCTTATAGCTGTAGTTGGCATCGTTTGCGCGAAGTATGTAGACGGAACTGTTTGAAACAGTGAAACTTTCAACTGTCAACAAGAGTCAATCATGCCTCCAATTTTTCGCCTCTCCTTAAAATCGTGTTCAGCAGCATGAGCGTTCGAAAGTCTGGTAGTGGAAGTTGAAGTCAAAGTGTCATTTGCAACCTCTTGCACACAGTATTTAAGATACATCAGTGTCCAGTGCTTCTCTGGACAGAGTTGTACCGGAAATCTGAAAATCTATGATTGCAGCTTCATCACGCTCTCTAAATCCTTTCACTGACGGCAAACAGCGTTACCCTGAACTTGCACAATGTAACCCAGTTATGCTCCTGCCTCTCTTTACTGTTTCCTTGGAGATTCCGCTGTGGTAGTGTCAGTGATTCACATATTTACCTATTTCCAATGTGGGTTGGTTTGTTTGATGAATTTTTTTCTTAGTTCGAAGAGTTCAAATGCATTCCACATAAATCGTAACATGTGCACTCTTTTGAATCGAATGCAGCGTATTTCGTTTGCAGAAAAATAGATTCTTCACAATCTTATTCAAACGAGAAATATTTCTTCAGTCATTCAGTGCACGTTCACGAGCGAAGGTTTTAGGCGAAGCGACCTCATTTGTTCGGCTGAGGCCAAGTTTAGCAATCAATTAGGTAGTAAAATATGTATTTGTCATAATATAGGAGCGTTGTATGAAAACGAATTCAGCATGACGAACTTGTTGCTCTTTTTCAACAAATCGACGATAAATTTTTCCGTGACGTATGCTTAACGTCGCTGGTATTATGCCATATCTACCATACCATACCATCCAATTTTCAATCTCGCTCAGACAGAAGTTATTTAAATTTAATGAAGCTACAGAAAGGATGAGAAGTGCATCAAAGAGAAAGATATAGCGACGAAACGTTAGCTGTTTGCGAATGACCTTGTTCTGCTGGCATATTTCAAAACGGCTCTCCAACGCTCCCTGGGAAATTGGCCGCGAAATGTGACGTGACCGGCATGCGCGTAAACGTGTGTAAAACCGAAGGCCCGAAGCTTACGCATATGTTTCACATGTGTAATATTTCAGAAGGAACTATCTTCAAATATCGAATCAAAGTAGTACGAAACCTATTGAAAATCAGAAAAGCTCACACTCGTTTAGATGAAGCGGAGCATTCGCAATTGGTTGCAGTCTTTACTTTTTTAACAGTTCTTTAGCAACGGCACAGACTTCGTGGAAATACATTGCAGCAGTTTCTGGTATGAGACAACAGCACTGCTGCTAGACTTGTAATTTCTTCGCAATCGATTTTGCATAAATTTTAATACGATTAACCGTCATTATTGTATGTCACGTTGCGACGTTATCTTATAAATTTTGCTGTTTGGTGGAGGGATTTCTATCAGGAAAGCAGGAAATTTTTCCTTTCGAATGTCGGTTTTCCTCAGACCGACATGATTATGCTATTCTTGTAATAAAGTTAAACGTAGAGCGTTGATCTCTATTTCCATATCATCAGCCTGCATTGTGCCATTTTTTGAGGTAGAATCGACAGCAATAATATGGCAAGCATAGTGCGTAATCTCTAGTCTCCTTCCCACGGAGGTGCCACGTGTTAACGTTGGAAGCAAGAAAGACGAGCGATCTGACTGGGTCTTGAAGCCGAAACTGTCGGTTCTGAAACCGACGCTTTATTAACAAAGAAATCTCTGTATATTTAGATTATATTAACTCTGACGTTGGGTTCGTGCTTGAGGAGAGTTTCTAGTGCGTTGAACAGCAGGTGATTATTATTTAGGGTTTTTGCCATGGGCAGCAGTGCATTTCTGATGACTTCATAGCAACAAAGAGATTGGTTGATACACTCGCTCCCTGGCTGCGCCTGACTATTCTGTCCATGTACAACGCCTATAGAATAGATGACGACACAGCTTTGGCAGACCAGTTCCAATGCGGATAGGCCACAATTAAATGCCATTTGCTCTGACGCAATCAACACATAGTGACTGAATGCCCTGTAGCAACTGGCTATCCAGTCACTATATGTTTGCAGGCTCATCCATAGATCATTGTGCGGGATCCGGTTATAGGATATCTCTAGGTGTACAAAGCACATATAGACTGGATTAGCGAACTCTCAGGATTTTCCAACAATCTGGAGAATGGCGAAGATTTGATCATAGTTGCTTCCGTCTGACCTGAAACTACACTGCTATTTTCATATCTTAGAATCATTTGTATGCCAGAATCTCCTTTTTCACACTTTTCCCTGGAAGTTCCCAAGGACGGCGTTGGACTTACGATCTATAATAGATATTAGCCATATATGGAAAAGTAGTACCACCAAAAGGACAAATATGCATCGAAAGAATGGTAGAAATCATTTGACGGATGAAATAGTCAGAGCTGTCCGCATTCTAAGCACGCTGTCTTTACAAGCGAGACATAATCGATTATAGGCAGTTGGGAAAATATTAGTCATCGGACTCAGATACCTTTATTTAAACATGCTTGCCAATGGGCTAAATACACAGAGCCCATCAAGACGCATCGTTAGGTGTGTCAGCAAACTATTTGCAAGGTCTATCACGGTTGTTTACAGTCTAAATACTACCGCAAAAGTGGTTTACAGTAGCACGCGATCATTACTCAAATTCTCACAATTGATTTCACTGAATAATTTACGGAACTGTCATGCGCCGAAGTTGATCGTTACAGCTAGTACCTTCATTAGTATTTTCTGACTTATATTATATATCTGTAAATTGAAAAACTGCATTTCGGTTACTGTGCTGGAGTTTACATCGCACTCCATGAGATTTCAACGAAAGACGACAGACAACCAACACTGTTCGTATACAGATTTGATAGCGTTTACAAAACATATCAGCAAAAACGGCTTAACCGTAACAGTTTATTTCAGTGCTTTACTGTAGTTCGCTACTGCAATACAATCATGAACTACTTGACATGCTCATAAAACATCATTCAGCAATGAACAAATTCTACAGGCATTTACAAACTGCATTTGCCTGGTCCGATATATCGCAAGCGCTGCCAAAAAACATTTCATACGTTGAGGGCGGTGAATAAAACAGAAAATTAAAACATAATTTCAAGTAGTAAACAACGGAATTGAAACAGAAAAACAAGATTCATCGCAAAACAATCAACAACCCATAAGTCGGCTTGTTTTTCGAGACTCACAGCACACCGTAAAATACATAAAACCACAAAATTCAAGAGAACGTATTACGCACCTTTAAAATGCATGTTACAGAAGAAACATGTTTTAAACGGATAGACATACATAGGCACTGAAGTGTTTGTCTGAATCAACTACAACTAGCTAGCGGGAAACTTTCATCATTCATTATCTGCTGCCGCCTTTTGGTGCGAGTGACGTGTCTCCGGAAGCAGCAACGGCGGTCAGACGGTTGTCAGCGTTCAAAATCCTCTGGTCAGACGCTATCGTGTACGTGAACTCGCGGTTGACCGGCACCTCGATGTTCAGCAGTCGGTTTTCTGTCGTTTCCATCTAAAAACAAACGGATGCTAGCTCGCACCATAGGTCAGGGGCATCTACTAAGTTGCAAGCAAGCGTAGCCTACTTCGTGCTGCGTGATATGCTGCCGCTTCTCGACTGTTTTCACAACGCGTTCGCCGGACAACGGGTCTGTGTGCTCGATTACTTCACGAGACACCTCGGCACCGACGACTTTCGTCGACTCCGTTGATGACTTCTGCGGGTACTCTTCTTGCGCCGCTCGGCCTGCGGGCACTCCATCACGTCGAGAGGTTTTCTTGTCAGACGATGAACCTTCTTCGATCCACTTGCCGTGTGGTGTCAAGCTCTCCGCCGAATCCACCGTCTATGTTTATTTGAAGTGCTACTGTTCCAACAGATTTCAAACTGTTTTTTTTACAGATAACATAAAGAAATTGAAGATAAAACGTCTATCGAGTAACGTTCTGACCATAAAACCGCAGAAAAACAATGTAAAACACCTTATAAACGCCCTGATAATGCGGTTTGTCTTAATCCAATCATAAACGAAAACACGATGGCAGATCTTAATCTTCGAACAAATCCATTCTATCCTACCAATGTTATCTAATCAGAAGTGTCATTTTCTAGACGGATGATTCCGAGAAATGGAAGAAAAATAATCTCCCTGGCGCCACGAGAGGGACCAAGACATGAAAAATCTGATACAACAACTGCTTAAACTTAACGCCCGTGAGTATACCAGTCGATGGTCATCGCCGACCACCTCTCGTCGGTGAGGCGAGCTACGTGCCCAACCCGCCGTAGCTCCTCCTTTCTGCTTTCCCCGATGACGTCTTTCATTCTCGACTGCTGCCTGATCACCGTGTTTGGGAAATGGTCTCGACGTGAGATTCCCAACATTCTTCTTTCCATAGATAGGCAGTGGCTGACGCTCGTCGGTTTCAGTGAATGGCCACGTCTCAAAGCCATACAGTATTGCCGGCAGGAGGGTATAACTGAAGCATGAACGGTGATCATTTGTGAGTTTATACCTTGAGTGTAAATCATTCCTTCTGAAAAATGAGCTTGCGTTGAAAGAATAAACTAGTCATACACGCCTGAAACGAATTCCACATCGGACAATCGCTTCAAAATACCCATAACGGATATCCGTATTTATTCATTCCGAGTTTTCCATCAGAGGTAGGAGAATGCCAGACATCGAAAAAAATTAAATGATCAACCGCACTTTGCCAGAATAATGAACATGAGAGCGAAAACAAACTGATCTGTAAAGT